TGATGTCAAAGCAGATGTCTTAACGTTTGCCACCTGAGCTGAGCGCAACTACATATTTGTTTAAGTTTTCTATTTCGTGTTTTTATGCGCGCCATTATTCAGGATTTGTGACTCGTAGCTTGCGAAAAACATGGAGGAATACTTTTCTATTTGAATTATCCTTATGGATTATATCTTGGCTTGTTTTCATGGAAATATTCAAAAGATTGAAATATTTGTTTTTCATCCCAAGTCCACTGTTGCGCCTTTATAAGGACTTGCTTCCTTATTCAAAAAACTGCAACTTTTGAAGAAGAATATATTCTTTCTGTTTTAGAAGTCTAAGCATTTTAATTGTAATACACTCTAAGTATTGGTTTAATACTTGAGTTGTAATTTAAGTTGTTAATTGTGCATCATTCATAAGCTTTTAAGTATTGAATGGTTGAAGTCTTTAAAACTTAATAATTCTACTGTTCTTCACTATTAGTGATTGAAGGGATTTAAGTAGGGCCTCATACCTAGGTGTGTCTTAGATATAAGTATAACACGGGTAGTGATTAAGTAATTAGATTGTAAACTGGTTGTTTACTGAGGGTCTATGAATTAATACTATTTAGTGGACTTGTCCCTGGCTTAGTAGCCCCCAGAGTAGGTGTTGTTGTACACTGAACAGGGTTAACAATCCTTTGTGTTTTTACTACTTTTATTATTGTTGCATTTTACATTATCCTCAAATATTTGTGTCGTGACATCTCCTTCAACATCACATATCTGATACCAGAATTTCAATTGGTATCAGAGCATGCATCCTGCTCTATATTTGGGTGAGATTCAGAGAAGATACTTTTTGGTACTATGGACAAGGAAGGGGGATTTGTGAATAGACCACCCATTCTGAATCGAAGTAATTATGACTATTGGAAACCACGTATGGTGGCCTTTTTAAAGTCTTTGGACAGCAGAGCTTGGAAAGTTGTCTTAAAAGGATGGAAACACCCTGTCAAATTGGGAGATAAGGGAGAACCTACTTCTGAGTTAAGAACATTTTCAGATTAGTGAACACATGTGAGGTAGCTAAAGATGTATGGGGAATTCTCCAATATACTCATGAAGGCACATCCAAAGTTAAGATGTCAAGACTTCAGTTGCTCCCCACAAAATTTGAGAATTTGAGAAAGAAGGATGATGAAAGTATTAATGATTTCCATATGAACATTCTTGAGATTACTAATGCATCTAGTGCTTTAGGAGAGAAAATACCTGAAGACAAATTGGTGAGAAAGATGCTCAGGTCTCTTCCCAAGATATTTGATATGAAAGTGACTGCTATAGAAGAAGCTCAAGACATTGACAAAATGAAAGTGGATGAACTTGTTGGATCCCTTTTGACATTTGAATTAAGCATCAATGAAAGATCTGAAAAGAAGAACAAACACATAGCCTTTGTATCAAATGCTGAAGATGAATAAGAGGATTGTGATCTGGATGGAGGAATATCAAATGCCTTAGTTATGTTTGGAAGACAGTTTAACAAAGTCGTAAAAAGAATGGATAAAAACCCAAGATCAAATGTCAAGGACATTGTTGTACCCCAAAAATTTTTCTCTCATTTCTCAAGACATTTCCTCACAGGGATTTTCAAAAGTTCAAATTTGCACAAAGTACAATTGGGCTTTCAAGCATCCAATCAAAGAAAAACATTCATGCTCCAATTTCACATCCTTCGATTGGGTTTTTGACCTCTTTAGATGCAAGCTCGACTTACATCCTTCGATTGAGCATTGGCCCCTAACATGCTTGCTTTGATTCACAAAGCAATGACTATCTACATGCATCCTTCAATTAAGAAATTACCTTTTTTCTGCATCCTTCGATTGCACCATTTGCATCCTATATGATTGTTTTGGTGCACATGACAATAACCTCCTGCATGCAAAGCAAGTGATCTAGTAAGCAATTAAGAGCCCGTAGATAACTACGGATGAAAAGGGTGCTAACACCTTCCCTTTTCATAACCTACCCCCCGAACTTAAGAAAACATCTCTAAAGGTCTTTCATGTTCTTTTCAACCTTTCCTTATTAGACAAAATAAAAGTCGATGGTGACTCTTGCTATCTACAACAATTGCGATCAAACGCAAACAAACCAAGTCAGTTCTCCCACCGTATCACTGACATCTCATCTGACATCCATAAGTTAAATGAGTTTGGAAGAAAAAGGGATGAAGAAAAATCCACTAAAGGGAAAGGAATACAATGTCATGAATGTGAATGCTTTAGTCACATTAGAGCTGAATGTCATACATATCTTAAGAAACAAAAGAAGAATTTATCTGTTACTTGGTCTGAAGAGGAATCAGAGAGTGATCTTGAAGAATCTGCCAAGCATGTTAAAACATTGACAGGAAAATATATCTCTAATGAAGAGTCTAGTGATGGGGAACTAACCTTTAATGAGTAGCTGCTTCATACAAAGAATTATGCCGCATAAGTGCAGAAGTGTGCCAAGAAGGGGAGGAATAGAAAGTCCTCATAACTCAGCTGAAGGCAGAAAGGGAAGAACATTTGAAAATTATTTCTAATCTGGAAAGTGAAGTGACTTCTCTGAACTTAAATCTTGATAGAATGGTCAAATCTCTCAAGATACTGAATAATGGATCTGACACATTAGATGAAATTCTTCAAGCAGGAAGAGTGACAGAAGACAAGAGTGGCATAAGGTTTAATGAGAAAAAGGAACCAAATTCAGAAGAACCTTCATTAGATTCTGCTCATTCCAAGTCTAAACCAAATATATCTAATCAAATGTCTAGATATCATGGCAAACATCATGGTAAGAAAAAGGTTAATCACATCAAAGAGAAATCACAATCTTAGAGATGTCATCACTGTGGAAGGCTTGATCATATAATACCTTTCTGTTTCAAGTTGTATGAGTATCCTAAAACCAATCCTCTTCCCAAAACTGATCAGATCCACCAAAATAAAATAAAAAAGAAGAAACAGTGGGTTCCTAAGTCTAATGTTGCTAGTTTCATAGCTCATACCTCTATCAGAGTATCAACCAAAGATGATTGGTAATTTGACAGTGGTTGTTCTAGACACATGACAGGTGTCAAGAATCTGTTAGTAGATATCAAATTTCATTCCACCAATTATGTGACTTTTGGTGATGGAGTCAAAGGTGAAATCAAAGGAGTTGGCAAGCTGGAATGTTCAGGAGTCCCTAAGCTCGATGATGTGTTACTTGTTAAAGGGTTAATAGCTAACCAGATAAGTATAAGCCAATTGTGTGATCAAGGATTCAAAGTTAACTTCACCAAGGAATAATGTTTTGTTTGCAATGAAAAGAATAAAGTTATTATGAAAGGAATCAGATATAAAGATAACTGTTATTTATGGGATCCCCAAGAGTTGAACGTCCCATCAACATGTGCTTTAGCCAAAGAAAATGAAGTTAAACAATTGCATCGAAAATTGGGACACTTGCATCTGAAATAAATGGAAAAATCATATCTGAAGAAGCCGTGAGAGGGATTCCTAAGCTCAAGATAGAAGAAGGGAGAATATATGGTGATTGTCAGATTGGAAAACAAACTAAGATGTCACATCAGAAGATCTAACATCTTACTACATCAAAAGTTTTAGAACTTCTTCACATGGACTTGATGGGACCTATGCAGGTTGAAAGTCTTGGTGGAAAGAAGTATGCCTATGTTATTGTAGAGGCTGAAATTATCCTAAGTTCAAAGATCATCTTGCTAGGTTGATGGTGGTTTAAATTAGGCTTGCTTGTTAGATAATTTTTGTCTTGGATCGATGAAAATCGTCTTGTACATTCTGAGTTTTTTTGTTTCAAAAATAAAAAAATAAAAAAATCTAAACTTTTATAAATAATTATTAAAAAAAAAGATATGTGTCTTTGTTTAAAGAATTATATTTATAATCCTAGAAATATTAATACCAAGAATTCTATTCTATTCCTGTGTATGTGTTTTGAAAATAATTGGAGTATCTTGAAATATTTATAAAATATATTTAATTTAATTTAAAAAAAATATAAAAAAGTTAAAATAATTTAAAATGAGAGATTATAGATAATTACTTCTTATTTCTATTGCATGAAAATAAAAAATAACAAATTCATAAATAAATCATATTCAATGATTAAAAGATACTCAAATATAATTTGAGAAATATGATTTCTATTTTAGAATAAAATTAGAATCTATATACATGAAAAATCAGAGTGCGGAGGTACCTAGAAAACATTTCAAATATAAAAAAGGAAAAACATTCAAAATGGCGCCAAAGTGGTGCAAAGCGGCACTTTTGCCTCCACGGTCTTCTCCTTTCTAGCATCACGCATCTCCATACTCTCGAGTAATTCACTCAGTTTCTCTCAACGCGCGAAAACTTACAAGGTACACTTCCATTTCTTAATCTCAACCTCCATTCTACATAGAGATTATTTCAAAGTTTTCAACTCATATAACGTGACTTTTATCTATATAGCTATTATTTCATGTTAACTATTTATTTCTTAAATACATTTTGTGCTCATGTTTTCATATAACCAAGCATGTATTTCTTATAGCATAATGCATCTGTATGATTTTGGTTCTTGTTTTATATTTTGTTAGATGCAGATAGATCTCAATGTGAAAATTTCATAGCTTTTGAATTTGGATTTTTGTTTTGTTTCTAGTGATTGAAGACTACTTTTGTTACGATTTTCACTAAACACGACACTGATAATCACTTGAAAAAAATAGAATAATTAAACGTAACCATTTATGTCTGCATTAAAAAACAACATATATTAGACACCAAACACAACTTTAATGGGAAGTGTTGGTGCTATATGGACTTATGGTGCTACTGATGATACATTATAATAACCTAATAACTTGAAAGAAAAACTAATCAGTCCATAGTTTAAGATTAAATAATGACTTTGTCATTATCATTTAACATACAAGTCACTAAGCAGCACAATAATACACACTAGTGCAGTCTTCAGGCTGTTCCTTTCTCCTGAAGGCTGTGACCATTTGTAATCAGTTCAGGCTGTTCAGGATTCGGTTTTGGTTCTTGTGATTTCCTCGCTGGTTTTGGTACTTGTGATTTCTTCACAGGACTTGGCTCTTTTTTTGTCTTCTCTTTGGCTTTGGCCAGTTTGCTAGCTGGGAAGTGTAGTCTAGCCATCAGAGGGCGCGGTGTTCGCAATTTCCTTTCAAACCCCCGCACACAGATATACCCTACAAAGCATTTTCAGTAGCTGTTAGGTGTTAGGTTAATTGGGCACTTACTTTTCTATTCAGTTACTATGTTGGTTCCTCTAGCAGAGAAGAATCACATTCTCTGACTTAAATTTTACCTCTCCAAAAGGCTTGTTGAATTTCTTGTGTTGATAAACCTGTTTGTGAAAAAATAAATCAGAGCTCCATTATTCGACACAGTAATGTATGCCATAATTTATTTTACCATGCTATGCATTCTTTACCTTTAAATATTGATGTTGTGGAGGTTCCGAAATATACTGTTCTCCTATTGAGGTTCCAGATCCAACTTCGGGGAACACTAACAGGGTTAAGGCTCGACTCATGGTCAGCAAATACCTGCTTCGACCGACACATGTTAGCGGTGCTTAAATTGCAACCACTCAAGTATAAAAGGGATTGAAATTTTAGCAAAATCTGTGATCTCACTATTTTACCTCGTTGACTTGGAAGTAAGTGCCATTTAATGGAAAGCTCCCGCGTGTAGCTGTTCGACACGGTATCTGTTCGTATTTATTATGAGAATTAGTAACAAATAAGTAAGAATGAGTAAACACGTGGTTAAAATATTTAATATGATATGGATTCAGACCAGAAGTGTTCCTCTAATGATCTGTGAGTTTGCTTCCCGGAAACTGTTGCATGAGAAACACTCCTTCTCATTGCAGAGTTGTCCGTATTCTTCGCGAGATCTGCATTTGCATTCAGGTGCCTGTGTTGAATCTGCTGTCTCTCCTAAATTTATAATTTATTTAAGAAAATGAGTTAGAAAGTACCAAGAAAATGAAACAAATTATATATTTTGAAACTTCCCAACTTATTTTGGTGCATAGTGCAAAACAAGACTTCTCAGGGTAACAGAATCGTTATTTTTGTCTACCTGGAGTCCATATAGCAAGAAGATATTTGCCAGGATCATCAGGTTCTCGTTTGTCCCACTGTAATGTACACGTAGTTAGTATAAGTTGGACATATAGGATAAAATATATTTACAAACGCAGTAATAACTAACCCCTTCCAGAAGAGGATGCGTATCCGGGAGTTCATAACTGTATGAAGGAAACATAATATCAGCATAAGTTGTTAGAAAATTTTCACTCCTAGGGTATTTAGTTGGAGATGTGTTATGTTACTTACACACAATGCTCAGTTCGCAATCGGCTAATATTCTTTAGCTTGGGCACAGGAATGGAGGCAGCCTCTGGATTCAAAGCAACCAGAGCCTTTGACATTTCACCTTCTTGAAGTTCCATGTTTTGTTGCATATAGTTTTGTAAATTCAGAGTGAACTCCTCTATGTTAAGTTTAATGGTAGGAATTTCACTTGGATCTTCGTAGAAGGCATCTTCGATATCACTTAGTATTTGTTCCGAACATTCTGGCTCTGGAGTTGTCGGCTCTTCAATGATAGGTTGGCAGATATTTATTTCAGATCTTGCTAGTTGTCCGCTAACTTCTGTTTCGGGAATTTCTTCCACTTGGTTTGTGTTCTCAGCAAGAGGCAACTGCAACTGACTCATGACTACAGGTGGGTTTTCATTGGGCACACTATTTCCAGCTGCAATTACTATACTCTTCTGCTCTGGTCCAGGCAGGGCAAGTCTTGCACTGCAAGCAGTAAGCTTCAGTAGTTTATCATATCATAATTTACAGTACATGCATTTGTTAGATTTTTAGTGTGGTAATGAGAAATTTTCACCGAAGTAGCCATTTATTAAATATACTGTTTTGATTAGGACTGAATGCTATGAGAGTGATGTCACTATAATGAGATAACTACTAGCTAGTACTATAATTCTGGATATATGAACATAGCTAAGAATAATATTTACAGGGCCTTCTAAAGTTCTAATGTATGAGAACATAGTTCTACCTGATGCTGCATAGTTTTCCCCTCAGAATTTTAATAAATATATTCATACCTTGCAAATGCACTAGCAAAGTGTCGGCATTCTGCTCTCATTGGGCATGCATTGCAATTTGGTTTGCTTTTTGTACAGAAGACCTGCATTCATCACAGTTCATGTCAAAATCACAACAGACTTCGGTTAAATAGGGTTGGTCTCTCATAAGAAAATGAAACCTACCTTTCCAAATGTAATCATCTGGTAATGTAGCTCATACCTGTAATATATAGCAATTTCAATAAAACATAAACAAATAATAATCAATAGGTATATTACCCTTTCTAAGCTTACAGAAACAAAGAAAACATTAGTACTTATTTCTGTCTGTTTGCTATGTAAGTTTAAAAGAAATATTTACAATGTTTTCTGATCTAGCTTGCACAAACGAGGCCAGAGGTACTTTTGTATGGACTCCAACACTGGGTACCTGCAATTGACAATGATATTAGCTCTTCTCATCCAAGTAAACAGAACCACTTAGTATAATTTGTTTATACAGTACTTACATTTCTAGAAACGAAAAAGAAAAAAAAAATACTTACATTTCTAGGAGATGCAACTGTAATGACTCGGGCAGTGGCTGGAGAGGTACCCATCCCAATCGTACTGCTATACGTCCAACATTTGTGTCTACCTGTTATATGACAATAATTTATTAGATTTATTCCATATTCCTGCAATTGCATACCTTTGTTTTCAACTTACCGGGAAGGCAAGATGGTGCAGTGTTAACAGGCGCACACACTCCACACTTTTCAATCCCAGTCCTCGTACGCTCAGCAAATACTCTCTGTATGATGAATTGAATTTTATTATGCACATATATATGTATATTTTGCTACATGAAGGTCTAGTTGCTTGAGTTACCAGTGGATCAATAGGTTAGAACGCTGGTTTCGCCAACCACACAATCAAGACATGCTAAAATTGCATAATGAGAAATAGTATTTCAATTAGGTGGTTTAATTAATCATTCACTTACTTTGCTTGGTCAGGTGGAACGTCTCTGAGCCACTCAAGGTCAATGCTTCCGTGATCATCAACCACTCTCTTCAGGAATTTCTGCATAATAAACAATGTAAAATGTGCTGCATCAATAAGTTTGCTCTGTCCAGAAAGTGACTAATATCATTTCATTGAAGTTTCATTTTACCTGAATACGCTCGGCAAGCCTGTTGTTCATGCCCCGTTCTTTGATGGTATTAGCAATGTCACCGACATCTGCACATCTCACGGCATCCCAGTCTAAGGAGTCCATGGTGTCTTCTGTCTTTTCCCTTTTCCCAGCCTCAGCTTGTGCTTTTCTTCGTAAACTATCCCAGTCAAATTGTTCCTTTTCCTCCTTTAATTGATTTTTGGTTTTCTTTATTGGGTCAGAAGTTACCTCATTGGTTTCACTCCTCACAACATCTTTGTGATCACCAAAATTAAAATCCCTTTCTTTCTGAATCAGATCAAGAGTTTGTCCAGCAATGTCAAAAAAGCTTTGCTGCATGTGATTACTCTGTTCCTGAGGATGGACTTGAGATGCATTAGTTTGAGAATGAGTGACTGCAACACAGCCTGCAGATTCATCTGTTTGAAAACTAGGTGTATTCATCTCATTTTCATCTTTATTCTTTAAGATGCCACTTGACAAAGCTTCCGTGTTGAAAGGATCAGAGCAGTTAACTTCACGTGCTCCTAAGTTGAGTGTGAGTTTCAAATTATATTCATGGGACGGAATGATGGATTCTCTTACAGAGCTTTGAGCGACATTTGATTTTTTCCAGCTTTCTGTTGCATTGTCATCTCTCATGTTCTCAATTAATTTGCTTCTTTGACTGTTAACTTCAGAAAACTTGGTTGAACTTACCATTTCAAGAAGCTTAGAGAAGGAACCACAGTTGTTGTATTTTGCTGTGCTTGACAGATCTTCAACTTCCGAGTTGCTATCTGAGCATGATCCTATCTTCTCAGGATTTTGATCATTTGAAAAATCTCCAGATATTTGAGATGAAATGACAGAGGATTGGGATGAAACAATGTCATTTAACTCTTTCCCAGTACCATCATGACATGATTTTTCTTCCCTGTCCTCAATCACCACCATTGGGCTGTGGCATTCTGTAATATTTCTTTGAGGTGATACTGTTTGTTTGCAGTTTGATTCATCTGTTAAGCTAATTGGGCTACTGGTAATTCTGCAGGAATCATTGCTGTTGACAGTTTTTTCTCTAGAATGCTCAACTATATCAACTGTCATAGAACTCTGGTTGCAAACAGATTGATTCAATAAGTTTACATCACATTCGGTGTTCTCTTCTGGTTCCACCACACACACTTGTTGTTTGTTGACTGCCAGGCTCGTGCCTTCTCCGCACATGCTGCCTGACTTTTTGGGAAATCGAGCAGCAAGTGACATGAATGCAGAACTGTCAACAGAGAAAAAAGTTGTTGTGGCATGTTGTTAAATTAAAAGTCAGCTAAAAAAAAAACTAAAAGAGTATATACCTGGAAAGATGGTCTGTGACATTTTGAGTGAGGAAAACTCCCACCACTGAATCCACAACTGATCCTTTCCATCGAGAAAATCGCCTGTCTCCTGTTGATTATGTTTTATATTAATATACGAAATATGTGACTAAAGCCAATTAATGCAAAGGAATAAACTTTGATTGATGGTCTTGCACTGATACCTTGTACAAGATGCATACGTGCAATAAATGATTCTGCTCGTCCACGGAACACATTACGTTCTCCTTCCCACCATTTGGCCTTTTCTTCATCTGTTCCATCAACCCCATCATGGTTTATATCTAACAGCAAAAGCTTCCACACTCTATCAGTTTCCTCATCAAGATCAACTTTAGGTCGTGGGCGTTGTTTTTTGATGGGATCAAATGAGCCCTGAAAGGGAACAAGTGCAGTCTGCCCATATAAGGCAAGTTCTTTCCCTCCCGTGTTTATGTTTAGCTGTCTAAATTGCTCTGTTAATGCTTCAACATTATACGTTATTTTCCGCACTACTCTGCGAGCAGTACCTGCAATGCAAAATTACATTGTATAATTTGTCCTTTGGCATATACTATGTTACCGACACAAAAATCAAGTGTTTAGTGGAAATACCTGATGGTTTCCCCAGTGTCAGCTGGTGATTTCCCAATGCAGAATTATGGCACTGTTGCATCTCATCTTTGTTAGGACGCATTGAACTTGAAAGAACACTTCTCTTTCTACTTCGCTTCTTTTTTGCACATGACACATGCATATCTTCAACTAAGACGTCAGTGCATGTTTGTGGTCTTTCTGCTTCTCTAATTGTTTGCCGGTCTGAAAAGTCCAGTTGTTTTGCATTGTAATTTGGTTCAATGCAGTTTCTAATTCTCATTAGAGAATTATAGTCACAAGTTTGATTTGGTAATAGAGATATTTCTGCCATCCTTCTCAAAGATAATCTGAACTCATCAAATGTTTGAGTGCTATGAAAATGATTTTCTCTAGATTCATTTATGATTCGGCGTACAGCTGCATTATATCCCAAACCATACATCCAGGAGCTGTCGTTTGAAGCATAAGGATGCACTTGAGCATCTTCGGGAGCAAATATTGGTGGTACTCCATTTTTGGTATTCACAGAAGATGTAATATGAGTGTTAGAAGTTTTTCCCTTTTCAGTTCTCCTTTTCTTCTGGATATTTAGAAACTGAGGTGGAAACTTCGACTGGTATGAGTGAAATCCATTAGAGTGTGCCCCAATCAGATTCACGCTGCTGTTATCTGCATGTTCAGTGGTTCCAGAATGCTCTGTCCCGCAACCAACCATTTCCATTAGTAACTTTACTGTTGAAGCTTGACCATTATCTGCACGTTCAGTGGTTCCAGAATGCTCTCCCTCGTAACCAACCATTTGTGAATTTACAGTTGAAGCCTGACCATTGCTGATGTTTCCATCCTCAACCTCTGCAAGACTCTTTCTTTTGTTTTTGTTCCTGGCATTCCGCTTCCTTCCAGGAGGATTGCATTTTGGAAGACGTGTATTTGGAAACTGAAGCGGAGGCTTTGACTGGTATGAGTGCAATTCATTATAGTGTGCCCCGATCAGATTCATGCCGCTGTTATCTGCGCGTTCATTGGTTCCAGAATGCTCTCCCTCCCAATCAACCATTTCCATTTGTAAGTTTACTGTTGAAGCTTGACTATTATCTGCTCTTTCAGTGGTTTTAGAATGCTCTCTCTCGCAACCAATCATCTGTAACTTTACAGTCGAAGCCTGAGCATTACTGATGTTTCCATCCTCAGCCTCTGCAAGACCCTTTCTTTTATTTTTGTTCCTGGCATTCTGCTTCACCTCAAGAAGATTGCTTTTTGGAAGACATGTACTTGGAGCTTGTGTGTTTTCAGATAACGACGTGTAATTATGTGCTATCTCTTTCACCAAGGTGTTTTGATCATTGGCGAGGCTTTCATTGCACATACTACTTTCATCTCTTCCTCCTGTGTCAAAATTTATGGACATTCTACACGATATTATGGTAGGTTCAGACATGATTGGTTTAGTCAACTCACCTGTCATTTTTTTGGGTGTAAAAGTCCTGTTCGCTCTCTTTCTCACACACTTCCTCTCACCTTCAGGTAATGCTATGTAACTATGTAATGCCTGCTTCATCCAACTGTCTTTATAGGCAAGGCCTACAGGTGTTTCCTCTACTACATCGTCCATTTGCACATTTACAATTTGTCTGTGAGCAGAACTTTCATACTTCGTTGCCATATCAAAATCCGAGAACCTACTCATTGCTGTTTCTTTAGATTCTGTCATCAGCACCCCAGTCAGTCCTCCTGTCATTTCTGTTTGGGAAGTAGGAGACTTGTTCATTCGTTTTCTTCTCTGATACGTATTTTCTGTCAGGCTTCCTCTCGGCTTTTCCCCGGGAGAATTAGTTTTTGAAGGGGATGTACTTAGGGTTTGTTCATTATTAAAAAATGACATGTAATTGTTTTCTGCTGCCTGCTTAACGAAGGGCTCTATATCATAGGCAAGGGCTACATCAATATCCTTCAATTCTGCACCAGTTTCTTTGCATGGATGCACAGTTAGGGTATGTTCATTATTAGAAAATGATTGGTAATTATTTTCTGCTGCCTGCTTCATGAGAGCCTTCATATCATAGGCAAGGTCCACCTCAATTTCCTGCAGTGCTGTACCAGTTTCTATGCTCGGATGCACAATTGCATTTTCTCTGTTGGCAGAACTTTCACCTCTTTCTCCTCCATCAAAATTTAAGGACTTTGTACAAGAATTTTTCGCAGATTCTGGCATCGTTTTTCCAGGCAAGTCTTCGGATACTTTAGTAGGAGTAGAAGACTCATTTAATCCCGGCCTTCTCACATAAGCAAGATCTGGGTATGTTCCCTCTATGACTACATTCTCTTTGACAGTAGAACTCTCTTCCATTCCTCCTTTGTCAAAATTTGTGGAACTTTTACAGGGTGGTCTGGCCAATTCAGACATCGTTTCTGTAGTCAGTTCACCTGTCACTTCTGTTGGAGGTGTAGGAGGCTTGTTCAATTTCTTTCTCACACGTTTCTTCTTGCCAGTTGGGTTTTCTTTTGGCTTTGCCTCAGGGTGGATGCTTTGTGAAGATGCCTCAGGGTGGATGCTTTGTGAAGATGTATCTGGAACTTGTGTATCTTCTGGTAATGACATGGAACTGTTTGATGGATGCTTACCCGGAGTGTATAAATCAAAAGCAAGGCCAACATCTGGTTCTTGTACGGCTACACCATTTTCTTTGTCTAGAAGTCCAGTTGTACTTTTTCTGCCTGCAGAACTCTCATCTTTTGTACCTATTTCAAAATTTAAGGACCTTCTACATGATATTTCGGCAGCTTCAGGAATTTTTTCAGTGAGTTCTCCGGTCACTTCTGTTGCAGGAGTAGGAGCTTTGTTCAATTCTGTTCTTCTCACATACTTCCTCTTGCCAGTTGTGTTTCCTTTTGATTGTGCAGGCTTTGGCGTAGCTGGCTTAGGAGTTCTTTTGGGTTTGCCTTCTCTAATGACCTTGGGGCGATGCTTTTTTCTCCTCGGCTTTTTTTCTGGTGTTTTATTCAGACCCGTACCGAGGCTGCTCCCTTCATCTGGGTTGTGATTCTCCTTCAACGGTGAAGAAGCACCAGTAAGTTCCACAACAAGGCCGCATAGCTCTTTGTTCAGTGAGGGTCCATCCTTGTTAAGCATTTCGGTAGGGTCATCCGGGGAAGTTCTCTTGCTACAGCAAGCATTGTCAGATGTTTCTGCATCAAAAGTTCAAACAAAACTGAGAATAAAAGCAATACAGGCTAGGTTTCATACACAGTATTTTGACAAGTAAATATTGAACCGAAAGCTATGCCTCTTGAACAAAAGGTCTAAAGATTTCCATAGGGCATCATAGTCTCAAGATTTACAAGTTTCAAAGGAAATTGTATTCTAATATGCAGAGAAATTTGTTTTAAGTGAAAAACTAGTTCTTTCAAAGAAAGCTTAGAAATTCAATATTGAATATACAATTCTTCATTTATCTACAAAACCAGTGATCATGAAAAAAAAAAAGTGTAAGACACACTATTTGCTTAGGAGTGAGATTGAAACTACTAAGACAATACGATAACTGATCACTAGCACGAACACATCTGATCAAAGACATGTTCGGCGTCTGACATGTGTCAGCAAACACTGTCGGCCGACACATTCAATTAATCCATTTTCTCAAATTATTATTGGTCTAGGTGTGTCAATGTCGTATCTAAAGTTATTATCAGTGTCAATGTCATGTCTCAAATTATTATTGATGCCGACGTGTCAATGTCGTGTCTTTGTATATGTCCGTTCATCTAATTGACGACTATCGATTTTATCCTTAAAGCTTAATGTTTTCCCCTTATCATCCTAAGCATTGCATCTTCAAATATTCTTGTACGGTTTTTAATTTTTATAGCATGTTGTAAATTATTGCTAATACTCATTCTGTTCCTGAGTTTTCCATAGAAAAGTAAAAACAAAAATACAACACAATATTAAATTAAAAATAGATGTGAGAGTTAAATACAGTAAAATTAACTGCAGTACTTCACTTACCTTGAGGAACCCTTGGAACAAATAGATCATTCAATCCATTATTGTTTCCGAGCTGCGTTGCATAAGAGTTCGACGAACCCACCTCTGCCGGAAACATAAATTTGGCCGAACCACCTAGGTCACTCCAACATGAAACATTACCAAAACCTGTCTTTTCACAGATTTTGCCATTATCACTTGCATTGTCTGCAATTGTAGCCATAGGCACTGATCCATGACAAGATTCTCTGTTTTTCTCTGACCCATTTGAGAATTCAGAACATGCAACTGCTTCATTACCATGATGATGGGTTTGGTCGTTTCCCTCCGCTGGAGTGCAGATCGGAACTGATTTTGGTAGAATTGGCTTAGCAGGGGTTGTAGGAACCCATGGAATCTCTGTTTCTGGTTCCTTTCTCCCCATTTCACCAATCTCCATTTTCACAATTCACCTCAAAAAAATTTATTTTTTTTGAAAAAAAATATAAAATTGGAAAGTGGGTCTATCCTAAGACAGTTGACGGAGCTCAATTTTTCGATAAAGGGGAAATTTTTGATCAATCTTGGGAATTTGCATTAACAAGATGAATCATGAACCTAACAGAAAAAAATTAAAAAATAGAAAAAAAATAAATAAGAAAATTGAGAAATTGAAATGAATAAAAATGAATGAATAAATGAGAAATTGAAGAAGAGAATCTGATATAAAAAATGAGATTGAGTTAAGAAGTAATTAATTACCTTTGCAACATAACTGGCGACAGATTAAGCTCGTAACTACTCAGTAATTGTTGATAGGTTTTTGAATAATTTAAGCTAATTAAACAAAAACCGATTATTTTGTGAAAAAAAAGATGGTGATTCTGACTCTGATCGTTGGCTTTGGGAACTCCGCTTCTTCTTCTTCTCCTTCCTTATGCTTCTAACAAAACCAGAGAATAGGAGAAATTCATGGGAAGGGTAGTTACACAGTCAATGCTTGAGATCTGATAGCATAGTTACACTGTGAGTTCAGCCTCTGATGAGAGAAGAGAAAGAAGAACACACAAAATTCTTAACCTCACAACTAGGTTAATTCATTTATAGACTCTAAGCGAGATCAAAGGTGTAAGGTGCATCTATATATATAAAAAAAATTATTCTCTCTTTTACGTTTACTTATATCATAACAGAGTTCTTTCTGAATGCAGAAAGAAAACTATCATGCAAAACTTTTTCATTAATGAAGAATAATTTTGTAAAATCACTACGCCTGCATTGCATGCATGCAAATTTAATTTTTATACACTGTCAGCGCGTAACTATTATTATTAATATATAAAATAATAATAACAGTTAATTATTATATATCTGATAAGAGATGTTTTGAAATTATAAAGTCGAACTCTTATAATAAAAAAATATATTTTAAGGTTTGAATTAATAAATTAAAATTAATATATATATTTTCTATTATTTTTTATAAATAAATTTTAATTTTTTAAATTTATTGAATAAATAATATATATAAATTTTTAATTGTCTAAAATACACCAATTATTTAAAAAGTTTAAAAAATTAAAATTTTCTTATAAAAAAAATGGAGGGAATATCATTTAAAAATAAAATAAAAAATATTTGTATAAAATAATTTATTCCCAGGAAGATGGTGGTGGTTGATGAACAAGAAGTTACAAAAGAATTAATATAAATGGATTTGGATTCTCTCCTGCGTGCTGCCTATTCAACTTAGAGGTTAAGGACAAGAGGGATGGCAAAAGTGAAAGTGTAGGAGGAAATAATCTAAGAAGAGGAGTCAATGAATTAGATTAATCAGTATTAATAAATTTTTCTAAAAATAAAAAACATAAAGATATATTATAGTTCTCCTTTCCAAACAAGGGTACTGCAGTCTCCTCTCATCCCGTGCGAGATTTCACTATATAAGTCGATCCACTTGACTCTCTTAACTATTTAACACAATTATAAATGCACACCACCTTTTGAGTTTACAATATACAATAAAAAGCACACAACTTTCACTTGAATACAATGATCACTTACACTTAGTGAACGAAACATAATTGACTAATAGATTTATATGAAGTTGCTAAACTCGTATCAAACTCTATACAATTTTGCTAAAATTAACGATGTTGTTGTTTTTAAAATGACAAATTACTTGTTAAACATGACAATCATCGTATATAAATCTATTATTGAACTTTGTATATAAAAATGTAAGTTAAAAAATTCTAGGTTTAATATTACTACAAATCATAAGAATTATCTACCACCAATGTACATTAACCTAATAGTAAAGACAACCAATTTGTAAAAAAAAATAAAATTCGAACAGTCCAATCGTAGTCTAGTTATAGTTTAAAAGCAAGAAAAAATCGATTTCAAAAAATATTAATTGAAAGATTAATATAATTCAATTAAATTTTATAAGAGATTAAATTGAATCCTTTTATTATTGAAGATTAATTTGAGGTTTGTAATTTTTGTGAAGGACCAAAATCACTCATTTTAATAAAATAAGGTTTTTTTAATGATGTTTTCAAAATTGTGTCTGCAATATTAAAGTCTATAAAAATAATTGACTTAAATATGCTTTTTATCTATATTTTAACGGTTTTAATTTTTTAATCTTCATATTTTAAAACTCAATCTTCTTATCTCCATTTTATAATTTTAAAGATTTTTTATCCCATTCACTTTTGCAAATGTGATTTTTTAAACAAGTTTAAATAATGAATGATGAAAATTTAATTTCTATCACAACAATATATGATTCTGTCAAATTATAACCTCTTTGTACTTTATAGAAATTCTTTTGCCATGACTTATTTGAATTATAGGCATAACTTATTTACACTAAATTTTTGCCATAACCTCTTTTGGATTATGATCATAACTTGTTTGCATTATAAATTTTGACTATAAACATTAGTTGTTAAACTTAATTTTTCCATAACTTGCTTGTGTTAAACTTTTTGTTAACCTATAAGTTTATACTATATTTGCATATAACAACATAATTTACATATATTTTATTCTATTAAGGAACTAGAAATTAAATAAATTGTTCCACTACAAGTCTTGTGAATGTTTCTAAGTCTTTTGAAAATGTTCTTTTGTAAGTGAATCATTTTTAATTTTCTTTGTGTATTTCGAGGGAACAAGTATGATCGTACTTGATGCTTAAAGATGGAAAATTCGTGTCGCCTAGGGATTAGTTATGTCCCTCTCCACCATTTTCCATGTTTTTGTTAATAAAATGCAATACCCTATACTAGAAAGTGTGATTAGATGAATTTAACATTGAGATATTACTTTTATCTGTTTAAGATGCATGTCTTTGATCCAGAATTAAATGCTCCATAATTTGTGTTAACTTACGAGGTTTTCGCTCGAAGTTTATTGAAAGTCTCTGGGGACGTGGCCACTCAAGGGTCGGTACCCCCCAGGTGAAAAAGGGGGGTATGAGTTTTACACGTGGCAGAACCACCATGAACTTTGAATTGACTAGTTACCGATAAGGGGTGGGATGATTATAGCCACTTTTATGGTTTACCACTTTCTTTGTGCGTGTGTGTGTTTGCATCTTGGGATTTTTATTGCTCTAGTCATATGTTTATGGCGTCTATGAGAACACCTTGAGTATTTGTGTCGGGGCTTCGATCTATTCGGTCGTACCTTGGAATCACCGTTACCTTTCATAGTCATAAAGAAAATAAATATTTTAGAACTTATGCCTCATTCATTAAGATTAAAATATTTCAATAAACTTTGGTGAGATAATCAATTATACAAAGAAACAATAACATGATAAGGTTGTAAACATAACTAGGTGGACATGTGCACCACTTATTCTCCCAAGTTTATTGCTTGTTGGATCAACCACTCTTGCTTACTTGACCGACGTGATTTGTTCTTCATGCAGTAGGCTAGATGTTCATACTCCTTAGTTGGCCGATGAAGGAAGCTGTGATGATTTCCATGGCCTTGCATTGTCCTTGGTCTTGTTGCAGCGCTCGGTAGATCCTTTTGGTTCCTTCTAGGTCAACATTAATTACGACTGGCTCATTGTGAAAATTGTGAAATTTTAGCTTGAGGTGAACCAAGGACGCTACTACATCTAAAGCCTACGTACAAGGTCGATCGAGTATGCAATTATAAACTCTCTTGCAAGGAACTGTGAGTTCACATTCCTAATTTCTTTTCCTTCTCCCAAGGATATCATTAGCTCAATGTATCCCTAATGTTGTACCCCAAAATTTTCCCTCCCATTTTATCAATATTTCTCATCACAAGGCTCTTAGAACTCAAGACCAAGCTAGGGTTTGCTCTGCTCAAGAACACCTCCTTACACTGTTGACCTAAATTAGGGTTTGAGTTTGCACAGGGATATTTTGACCCACAATGCCCAAAGTGACTTTCATACTTCATGTTGGACTCATAAGTTTGCCCATGCCAAGTTTCAAGCCTTGAATCAAATTTTTGCCCAGTCAATTGGACAGTTGACCTAAAAATCAGCTGTATTGGGGAAAAAGTCAACTGTGGCCAATTGACAGTCAAACCTCATGAATTTTGACCCACATCAACATTATGAACTCATATGAACCATTTGATCAAGTTTGGATCACAATTCCACAAGAAATTTGATCAGATCACCAAAAGGGCAAAATGGTCATTTTTAGGGTTTTAACTACACAAAGGCAATTTTTGACTGTTTGACCTAGCCAATGGAAAATCAAGCCCAACCATGGACTCAAGGACTCAATGACATTGTCTTGACCTATTCAACAAGTTCAAAAGGTCTCAAATGCATAGGATTGACAGATGAATTTTTCAGTCAACTTATCAAAATTTGACTGTACACTGAAAAGTCAAACTTTGACTTTTTGGTCAAAATCAAGTACCAAGGGTCATTTTTCATCAAGACATGTCAAATTATAAAACTTGTTCATCAAGAAACCCAAAATTGCAAATTAGGGTTTAAAATGGAAAATTTTCATAACTTAGAAATTTTCTAAGTTATAAAATTTTCTTATTTTTTCCTAACTTTGCCCCACATTTTAACCAAGATGCAAAGGGATTCAATCAAAACTTACAACATGAAAGTTGTATTCCATCACAAAGTCTACAACTTTGATTCACAAAGTTTTCTCAAAAGAAGCTTGGATCTTAAGTTATGATTTTTGGAACAAGGGTACCTAAAACTTTTAACTTAGAGAAATTTTGCCCTAGTTTAGGCAGGATTTTGACCCATCTTCTTGGCCATTTTTCACATAGTTCAACTTGGATTCTTAAGTTTCATTTCAAAGATGGATTATAGTACATGTTGCAAGCTTTCCAAATTGTCCAAGAACTCAAACACATTTGTGGTTAGGGAGAATCGAATGCTTGAAGTTGGCAAAAACTCACTTTGTAACCATGGCCAATACATGTTCA